ATTTCTTGAGTTCACCCAATTCCTTGTTAGCCTAGTTGTCCTAGACTTAGTCCCTCTTTCTCAAGTAGAGACTAAGTCATAAAGGCAAGAATCAATGTTTCCAACCATTAATTCTATAGTTCTAGCAAGAAGTAGGCTAAATATCACTAACCCATTCACATTCAAGCCCTAAAATCAAATACCCATTAAATACTCACACTAGGGTTGGATCACAATCCTAGCTCACGAATAACAGAGTTAAAGATGAAATGAAGTTAAAATCCATAATATTAATTTATGGAATAAAAATCTAATGTTAAGAGATGAATCTAGTATAAAATTTCCGAAAACAGGATGCTCAGCCGTCTCACTTGCTCATACAATACATAACATAACCTAAAAATGACAAAAAATTCTATTTATACTAAGCTGAAAATATCTGACAAAATTGCCGATGCGGAGGTTGTGCGGCCGCATAATTCTGAGACAACTTTGGTGAGTTGTTCTTGGTGTGATACGATAGGGGAAAGCTTAGTGAAGGACCCTTTATAGAGTGTGGTGGATTGCTCGAGGACTAGCAATGAATTAAGTGTGGGGTGTTGATAATAGGCTATATAGACGATATTTACACTCTAAATGTACCATGCTTTATTGTGTTTTAAAGGCTAAATGATAACAAAATACTCTAATTGGTGTTCTTTTGCTTCGCAGGGACTAATCCAAGTTAGGAAGAGCCTNAATAAATTCCATCAAATAATCACCTTCCAATCTCTTCAATAATTATGTATTTATATTGGGAACTTATGGCTTCTAATCACCACACCAATAGTCACAATACTTAATTCACACTCATATACCCATAATAAATTCATACATGTAAGTCTAAGGGTGTAGGATTACCTTTTGGAAGAAATCTTGCAAAACCCTCCTTTGAGTTCTTGAAGGAATTTCTTGAAGATCTATGTGTTTTATGAGTAGATTTCATCAATACTAGTGTAAGAATGATGGAATTTCACACCAAGTTAATGGAGATTGCTTACCTTGAAGATGGTAGGAGTTGGTGCTCTTGAGAGGGTGAAGGAAGACCCCAAAGTTCGGCCAAGATAAATGGGTAAAAATGAACCCCGAATTGAGTATATAGTGTTTCGGGCGCCACAGGTGGCGCTGGGCGCTGCCTGTGGGGCTGATTCCAGTATGTCAAAATTTCCCGGCGCCACGGCTAGCGCCCCGCGCCTACCCAGGACGCTGGCGACGGAAGGGACATAAAAACGGTCATAACTTTCTGTATACACCTCCAATGACGAACGGTTTGATGCGTTGGAAACTAGACTCAATGAGCTTTAATTTGATAGGCGGTACATCACACAAATCCTTAAATACATGTAGATATGCTCGTCCTAAGTGAGGTATTATGCGTACTCATTTGGAATTTTTAGTCTATCATGTAATTTCCAATTTGGCTTAGACTTAGGCCTCTCCTTGGACCCCTCACTTATGATTTGTCTCATACACTTATTATAATAACCAATTGATAACCATCAAATTAATACTCATCTAATGCATCCACAACTGATTCAAATTTACAGGGTGTTACATTATCTCCCCCTTGGGATCATTCATCCTCGAATGATTGTCCTAACTGTAACTTCTGCTGACTCCGGACCTTAAACGGGTATGGTGGAAACATAACTTTCATTAACACTTGTATACTAAACTAAATGAATACATGATTACTGAACTATTGCGATACTGAACTGAATGACTACTACATTGACCGAATATTGGCCTGCCATGGATACGTGAATACTGAACTAACATGGATATATGAATATTGAACTGGCACGAATATTTGAGTAGTCTGAGTACTAAGATGGCATGAATGTCTAAGTATTGGACTAACATGAGTAGCTGAGTATTGAGCTGACATGAGTATCTGAGTACCGAACTGACATGGGTATCTGAGTACTGAACTGACATGAGTATCTGAGTACTGAAATGACATGAGTATCTGAGTACTGGAAACCTGAATGTTATAATATGACACGTGAAATACTGGATGTACCACCACTAATTATGGTGGCAACTCTAACTCATAAGCTAATTGACCGATCCTTCGCAAGAATCTAAATGGCGCAATATAGCAGGGACTATGCTTCCCCTTCTTCCCAAATCTCATAACGCTTTTCATACGTGAAACATTCAGAAACACCCAATCATCAACTTGAAACTCTAGGTTTCCATGCCGCACGCTCGCATAGGACTCTTGGCGGCTCTGAGTTTTCTTCAAACGCTCTTGAATCAACTTAACTTTCTCTATAGTTTGATAGACCAAATCGGGTCCTAACAACTCCACTTCTCCAACTTCAAACCAACCAATTGGTGATCTACACCTTCGCCCATACAGAGTCTCTCACAGTGCTATCTTGATACTAGAATGGTAGGTTATTATTATTAGCAAGGTCAACGAGAGGTATGTGATCATCCCAATTACTTTTAACATCAAGGACATATCCTCAACTGTTTGAACAATGCGCTCTGCCTGGCCATCTTTCTGATGATGAAAAACGTGTGCCTAATCATTTCTGAAAGAACTTCTAAAAGTTCATTTTAAACTGAGCACCACAATCCAAAATGACGGACAACGGAGTCCCATGCAATAAGACAATTTCCTGAATGAATAACTTGGTATAATCTTCTACTGAATCTGTATTTTTTTTTTTTTGGCAAGAACTGTGCTAACTTGGTAAGTCGTTTTAACCAATCAAATCATGCTTTTAAAATGAGCAAGATAATCCGGTTATAAATTTCATATTTACCATCTCCACTCAAAATATGTGTATTCTGTGATAAAACACTAGGCTTTCTGCTGCTCGACTTTTACTTGCTGACTATTCGGAGAATTGGCCACAAAGTCTACGGCGTTCTTTTTCATGTCGTTCAACCAATCAATCTCCTTGGTCATGATGCATATTTGGGGAACCTGGATGGATATAATACCTGGAATTATGGGCTTCTAACATGATCTTCCTCTTTAAGTCCATCTATGTCTGGAACACACAATCTGTCTTGGTACCTCAAAGTACCATTATCCCCCTTATTCAAAAGCCATCGTCTTATACTTGTGAATCTCCTCTTTCAACTGCAACACATATGGATCATCAAATTGTTTCTCCTTCTCTTCGACTACTAAGGGGGAACAAGTCATGTTCTATACAACAACTCCGTCATCTTCGGAGTCCGAAGTCGAACTCCTATCTTGGCTGGTGAACTTCTTTCACCAGAGTTCTCTTATCTACCTCTATCATGAGTTATACTTCTCACACTTTATCTTCTTAAGAACTTTCTGAAAATACTAATAGTATTATTGTGAGCTAAGTCTTTGACTTGTATTCCAAAATTAGAGTCTCGTGCAACGCCACTACCCTCATAACACATAAATAGGCATGGTTTTACAGCTTTTCTGTGATCACTTTATCATCAATAACTAAGCTCAGTGATCATTCTAACCACTTTGTGTTTCTTACACATGCTAGACATAATCC